AGGTTTTTTGGGGCCAAATTCGGCTACTGCCGACGTCCCTTCCAGCGCTTCCCCCTTCCGAGTCCGTAACAAGACCAGACCGTTTGACCTATGACCCCATACGTCAATTTTTCCACCGCCCCCTGTCATTCCCAACACATGATATAGTAGTCAAAAGTACTTGTAAATAAAAACAAGCAATAAAACAATAAAAACCAGCAACTCAAAGCAACGATAGTCCCCCTCCACAGCAGGGAGTGACTGGGTAAAGAAACCGAAAAGAAACCGCAGACATAAATACACACACAAAACCAAACACAGAAAAAGAAGCCAATCATGACGAGACCGTACAAAAACCAAGCAACCCATCGTCACAAGCCAGAGTCGAAAGAAGAGGGAAAAGAAGCAGCGCGGGCGAGGTGGGGGAGGGAAAGAGAAAGAACGAACGAGACGAAAAACAGGATTCATACGCAGGAAGACGCAGAAAAGACGCAGAACCGGAAAAGTCAGCGTCGCCATACGTACTGTGCTCTGCCATGCCATGCAATACCGAAAGGAAGGGCAAGCAGGAGTCGCAAATCGTCGTCCGAAGAGTGGTAGCAGTCGTCGTCGTAATCAAGAGTGCCTCGCGCGCGGGGCGCGGCGGGAAAGAAATCGTCGCAATGGAGCATCCAGTGATGGGAATTGATGGGAAACAGATAAATCGACAAGGGTTATGGAAGAACTCTCATCGACTCACTATTTCACGCTCTGAAGAGCGCAGGGTCAATATTATCAGTAACCAGAGCATTGGAGAACGCCTAACCGCCTCTTAGCCTTCTTGCTTCTGCAACTCTCGGGCTCATGCTCTAGTTACCTTTGATGTCCGCTTGCGCTTCTTGTCGGGGCTGGCAGGGGCGGCTCCCTTGACCGGCTCGGCCTCAGCGCCCGGCGTAGCGGTCTTACGCTTCCGGTTGTCCTTCTTGGCAGACTTGGGGGTCTTGGCCGAGTCGTCGGCGGGGCCCTGCTGCAGCTGCTCGGCAATGGCGTCCTGGTCGTTGCCAGTGTCCGCCTCCTTGCTCGTGGGCATGGGGATGTGGAACTCGTCGGCGTAACGGAGCGCTTCCTCGTCCGACATCAGACGAGCATTGGCGTTGCCCGACTTGTACGAGTGCACGCGAGCGTTGTACAAGCGAAGGTTGTATTGGTAAGCGCGGTCCCAGCCCTACATAAGTCATGTCAGCCACACTTTCACGCTCGCAACCGTTTCTGGAAAGAACGGAAAGAAAATAATGCGTATACTACGTACACCCTTGTCATGGGCGTTCATGGTGCTCCAGCGGCGCTGGCCCTCCTCTTGAACGGCACCCTTGGGCGCCTCAGGGCCCAGGTCATTGGCAATGATAGGACGGGCAGTCTGCATGTACAAGAAGTACGGCGTGAGGGGACGCTTGGGAGCATTGGGGTCGTGGGTGCGCTTCTTGCGCTCCTTCTTCTCGTCGGCAGCCGGGGCGACGGCAACCGCAACAGGCGGCAGGACAGCGCCGACAGGGGGCAGCAGGCCAGTATCAAAGCCAATGAGCTCGCCGACGCCGTCCACGCCGGCTCCCTCACCCAGCAGGAGGTTTGTCTGGCGGAGATACTCGCCAGAGAAGTTCTTCAGGAGTTCCTGGATAGTGGACAGACGAGCGTAAACCTAGAGTGTGTTAATTATCGGTCACAATAAACGATCTGGCGCATCTGGTCCTCCGGTGTCTTTTTTTTTCAAAATGAGGCGCGTGCTGTGAGAGTGGACTTTCGCGCGTCGCCAAATTGAGCGAATGTAAACAAAAGAGTGGGTCATGGCCGCTGGGCCAGGCGCAAGTGTTATGCGCGACCTTCCAGTTCTCTTGTCCTAATTTCCTGTCGCTTGACTTTCGGAAATGGGGGTTGTAATGAATGTCTGTATTGTGCAGTGATCGCAGCTGTAAAACCATGCAGGTTGCTTTGCACTAACTGTTGCAATTGAAGTATCCAGTTGCCGCTTGCATGTGCGCGGAAAAAAAGCTTGGGTTGTGCGCTGCGCAGTATTGTTGGTGCGATTGGGCAGCGTGAATATGAATGGCAGTGCAGCGTTGACAGCCGTGGCTAGACTTCGTTTGGGCGTTGGGTTGAGAGGCAGAATATGTGCAGTGGCAGGAAGCCGGCTTTACAAAGAGGCCCGAAGGTGTGACAAGGAATGGGAACGGAGACAGCACAATGGTGAGAAGAAAAAGGCGCAGAAGGCAAACCAGATGTGAGGCTGGAAAAGCCAACAGCGCACGTCTATGAGCAGGCGAGAGAAAGAGGGTGCGCGACAAACAAGTGCAGGTGAGCGGGCTCGGAAAGGAAACAGAAACGACACCGGAAGGCCAGAGAGAGACCAGAAAGAAGAGGTTGAGAACACAAGAGAACGCAAAACATACCGAATCGCGGACGCGAATGAAGTTCTCGACATCAATGACCTTGGGCGCGTCGGCCTTCGCGGCCTCAGCGAGCTGCTTCTTGGACGGGCGAGCCATAGCGCTGATTTGTAGCTGTGTAGTGGTGATGATGGATGGATGCTGTTGGAGCGCGAGCGATTTCAGGGACTTCAGTGGCGATGCGCTGAAGAGGTTGAAATGGCGATGTGGATTTTTAGTTTATTTGATGCTGGAAAGGAGACAAAAAGGCTACAGCGATGGGGGGGAGGACAGAAGGGATCAGAAGGGATCAGAAGGGAAGGAACGAGGGGAAAGGAAAAAGTCCTTTCAGGCGCGCGAGGTTGGGGGGGTGCCCGCGAGTTTATAGGCGGCTGGGGGGTTGGGGGACGACGCGCTGATTTGTTTTGATTTGATTTTGGCGCTTTTGCTTTTTTCGGGCCAGTCGCTCTGCCCCCCTTCTGAATCGGATTGCTGTCCTATTTTTTAGTTGGTGTGGCTCCTTCCTTTTTTTGGCGCACCCTTTGTCCGCTAGGGAAAGGGGGGGTGGGCTGGGGGAAGGTGGTCCCCCGACAGTCGTGCGCTGTCCCGATCTGACCTTTGCTGGGCAGCGCACGCTCAGCAAGAAGCTCGTAATACAGGCGGCCACGCCCCATATCTTTTTTCCTACTCGGGCGGCTTCGGCAGGTATCTTAGAGCCTGAACTGGTGGACGGTCGAACTGACTTGGCCTGAATCCGCAGCGAGCCGTGCACCCCTGTCCGTTCTGACCTCTCCTGCTCTTCTGCGAATGATAGCTTGCTTCGCTGAGGCCACTAGATGCCTCTCCGTCGCAGTTGCCGCTTCGAAACACTGGCCGCTGCATATGCGCGCTGGCCGCCCTCCCATTCTACCGCTGTTTCCGCATAACCGCCATTCTAAGTATCTTACTTGATGATGGTGCTGAGATGGGGGCAGGAGCTGCTATCTCGCGCCATAGTCTCGCGCCATAGGTGCCGACGGCTGTCTCAACAGATCCTCCAGTTGTCTCGTAACACCGCTGGCCAGTCCAAACCGGGATTCTGCCAGAAACCGCCCGACGATACTGTCGTGCAGCACATCCATCTTCTGTCTTCAGCAGTCTCTGCGATTTCACAAAGGCTCCCAACGGTCAGGTCTGTACGCCCATGCTCCATGCACTTCACTATCTCACCTAGCACGCTCCTTCTCTCGCTTTTTGATTGCGCCGCTCCCCACGGCCTGCCAACCCACACCTGCCCGCAAACGCGCACGCCTTCCTCACCCTCTGACCTGTCCTCTCAAAAAGATACTTCGACAGCGCCGCACGTGTGTCTTTGCATTCGACTGCAAGCCATGTATCAAACTATCTGGCGCGTTTTACAGTTTCTCGAATTACTAGGTATTTACTTAAGCAAGCGGGTGAAGCGTATGCAAATTTGTATTCTACAGCGTTTTTTGAACACATTATGCAGTTGTGTTCTGTTCTTTCGGCCCGTGGTGGGCGCGCCGCGTGGTGCGAAATGCTTCGTGCTGTTTTCAATGGACATCCTTTGGGGGATTCAGTGAAGTATTTGGGCGGCCCCTGAGCACCGTCGTAAAGTATCGCGGCGTGTTCTGCGAAGACCGCCCTATGCCTCAGGCGACCCCTCTTGGCCTTCTGGGCAGCGGCTTCTTGTTTTGGAATGTTTTGATTTTTTTTTTTTAGGCAAATTTGTGTCACAGGCGCTACGAGCGCTTTTCATGGATACGGGCGCACGCCCCTGCATGGGCGCTATTGTCCAATGAAAGACTCGTTAACAGCCAGGCCATAACAGGGTAACGGGGTTGGTGGGGGGAGCACGCGCGGCGCTCAAAACAGAAGGAAACGAGACAGCCGAAGCTCACCAGCCATCAGGCGAAACCCCCCGCCCCCTTGTACTGATCTGCTGTATTTCCAGTACGTAACCTGAAGTGCCGCCAATTCGCTAATTCGCTAATTCGCTAATTCACTCGCCTCTTTGCCTCAATTTGCTGAAAATGAGATCGCACAAGCCCCTCTTGCTCGCTATCGCTTACTGATCGTTGAAGTGTCCTCTGTGGTTTCCTTCACTGCATCTAGCGCCTTTTAGTGGTCGCGCCTGAAAGCCCCAAAGTGCGTCACAATAGCAAATTGGACAGGACCTGCAGGCGCCCTCTGAAGCCTCTTGTGACCTGCGCTTCTTATCTGCGCGTATTGCGGAGGTAACGCTGTCTCTGTCCAGAGGCCGAATCGCACCCCCCCTCCCTTGCCGCTAAACACCCCCCCCCCCCCCCAAGGCCAGGCCCTTCTGCTGGCCCCTCTTTCCTCTGCTGAGTCTGGCCGTCCTCTCCGCCAGGCCAATTTTCCTAATACTTTGGCACTCCCCGCTCTTTCCTCGTTTTACTGATTTTATCGCTTTCAGGGAAGCTGCTCTGGCGGCTTTGTGTTGCTTCAGATCACGCCAAATCAGCAACAACGATGGTGGGCGCGCTTTTACGATTGTACGTTTGCCCTTGTTGCCTCTTAACGCCAGATCCAAAGCATCAGGTCACCTCCAGAAAGGCCAATCGCCGAACCACAGCGACCTTGTCTGTTCCCGCACAGCTTTCAACTGGCATGCTGCAACGGCTGGTTCCATGCCCCGGAGCCAGGCGCACGCAGCTGTTTGCCTTCCTGGCTTTCTGGCTTCTGGCTTTCTGGCTTTCTGGCAGTGTTCACGGCTTTCTGTCCCCATCCTTGTTTTTCCACGCTGCAGAAGAGCGAACTCTCTTTCCATGCCAACGCCAGCTTGCTCACGTCCAGCGCCAACGTTTGTTTCATTGTATCTCCCCAAAGCGCCTCCCAGCCCCCAAACCCCGCCAGATGTCTTAGCTGCGCCAACTACCACGCGTCACGTCGTGCAATCTCTCTATCCATGGAATCTAGCCAAGCACCGTTGTAATATTTCGCAAGACAAGAGGCAAGGGCGAACAAAGACACGCTCGATGACCCTCGCCGCAGGTCGCATGGCAAGCTCAGAGCTCTCCTGTCAAGCTCTCCTGGGTTGGTCAACTTCATATGCGCGTGATATATACTCGAAGAAGCTCGACAGATAGCTCAGTCAGTCTCTGCCACGAATGTACGCCGATATCGTAAAATCGTCACCATATCTGGCTCAAATGTACGAAGTATATGTGCAAAGACTCTCCCCTTGGCTTACATACTCGAGCTTACGCGCCTTGGATAGCTGCAATATGCTAGACATAGCAGAGCTTGACGCGACAGGTCAACGTCCACTGGTTTACCAGCTCCTGCTCGCTCGAGCTGCCAAGGCCTCACCAAGAACGGGTCTAGCGCGGACGGGAACCTGAGCTTCAAAGAGCTCCCAGAGGTCTAGACGACGTGCTCTGTTAGCCCATCAGCAGTGCTCGTTGTCGCGAGCGAAGTCGAGACCCAGAACGCGTCACCCACAAGGCTGCTATGTTGCCCTCTTTTCCTCCCCTCCGTACTGCTTTACGAACTTGCATGCCGTCGGGGCGCGACGTTTGTTGGTACCGAGGGAGCTCCAAGGACATTGTACTTGGTCTGTGTGCTTCCTCGGGCAGAGATGCTTTGGGCTGAGCTCGATCTCAGTTCAGTTGTAATAGACAGCGCGAGCCCGGTCTCGACCGACGTCATTACAACCGAAGTTTTGGTTTAGGCGGCCCTCACTCTTACATCCCACGCTCGTATGCCTCCCGTATATCGTAATTACCCATCACTGAAGGCCTGGAACGCGCCCGTAGACTCCTTTCCAAGCTCAGTCAGGCAATCCTGACCTTCATATCCGCCTCGTAATTACAGCGCGCCAGCGATGCCCGGTCCGTCACTGATCATCGTATGGTGTCTGCTGGATGCTTTGATGCTGTGCTGCGCTGACGCCTTTTGCGTCAAACGGCTGGCGTGCTCGCCTGACCTTGACGGGGCGCTGCAGCATCGATGCCATGCAGCTGCCAGATCTCGGTGAACCCCCGCCGGCCACGTATCATATATGCGCCGTTGGTGGTCCCGTCGACACAACAAAGGTTGCAGAATACGAGGTCGGCCGCCGATACAGACCTTTCGAGGGCTTTAAGGACAGCTATTGCTTCTTTGGATAATGAAACTTGCCTGGCCCGACTAGCCAAGCTCTTTCCAGCATGCGACTGTGCAAAGTCACAACAAACCAAACGCGCGCGCCGATAAGGGCTAGACTGTCGCCACTGAGCCCAAAATGCAACGGTCATCAACCGCTCCCGCGGTTGTCATTGTGAACTATGATGCCGGGTCCTTTTGTCTCGTTCCAGATGCAGTAGTCCGCTCTCGTAGCTGCTGGCACGGGCCGTGAGGACCAAAGGCACCTTTTGAGACACTTAGCCCAGGAACGCGCAGAGGGTCTGATGAGGGGATGTGTATGGGCCACCCACCACCGCGGTTGAGTCTGTTGTCCTTTTTCCACGTCTTATTCTTGAAGCTATTTGGTGTCTGGACTGTAGTCTATCTCATTGCGATGTTTTTTCTGCCCCTATACAGTATCACTGCATCGCTCTTTCCTTCCTTCCTTCCTATCCCCAACCCTTCCGCACTTACGCACCCATGGCACCTGCCTAGCCTGTCTTTGCACCACGCCTTTGTCTCCTTCCACGATTCACGAGACATGACGAAAACGACTGCCCGCGCGCCTGGAAACGGCAGTCACGGCCTTGCTGAGTATTGCCAGCAACCAAAGCGCAGCGCTCGCCGCAGAGGGTCATGTTAACGCGCCACGATGCGCAGTGGGGTTGTCAGCGGGCAGTCAAAGGCGTCTTGCCCCGACTCCGTCACAACGACCTGTCTCTCCTCTCCTCTGACAACGCAGGGTGCACACAAGAGACGTCTCCGTCACACACAAGTCGTTCCTGCCACTTCGCATTCGGTGAGGTCGACACAAACACGGAAAGAGCAACCCACCCACAGACTGCTTCGCTCCTGCTTCGCCATGGCAGCCACCCAGTCGTGCAACAATGCCAAGCCCAACGCGGGTCCTCATGTGTCGCAGGCAGCCCAATCAAGCCCTGTAACAAACAGCGGCCGGATTGCCCCTCGCTCATCTCACAAGAGCTCTTGCCCCTGTCAGGACCCTCCCATCGCACCTTCCAAACAACAGCTCGTCACCACAACAGGAAAGAGGGGACCCCAGTCGTTGCCCTCCTCTTGGCAGCTTGGCATTGAGGCATTGAGGCATAGAAAAATGCAACGGCTTCTCAGTACCGCATCTCTTGCTTATGTGCGTCTCTATGTCGTCCGTCATCTTCCTGGCACGGTGAAGATCCTGCTTTAAATCAAGACGGCTCCCTCTTTTTCGGCTTATATACTTGGGTCGCCAGTTTCTTCACCCGCATCTCGGATCCTGGGATTCTGACCACTTGCATCTAACATCACCAACTCTTCACTTTACTCTGTAAGGAATGCCACCCACAGAATCTCAAAGAAGCTTGGCAGACGAGCTCTTGGCCTGCTGCTCGACTTGTCTTGGGCTTTCGTTTGCTTTTCTACTGGATTTTTGCTCCGATCCTGCCCCTCCGCAAGCTTCCCTCCCGCTGACGCTATCCAGGGCCAATACGACCGTATCAGCAACCCACGATGTCGTTACTAAAACCTCCTCCACTGCTTGTCGGCGTTCTCGTCCTCGTCTTCTTTGCCCGCCGGGTGCTCGCCTTTGGTGCCGGTAACATTGCCAGCATCTCCAAGGTCGAGGGCCAGAACTGTGCGTGCAAAACTGTGTCGTCGTGATCCACAACCCTCTCCGGCCGCTCGCTAACCGCTTGTCCCTCTGTCTAGGGCGGCATGGCGACATCGAGGACGCCCTGCTGCAGCTGCTCATGGCCCGTGCCGTGGGCGGCAAGAAGTTCGACAAGCTCGCTGTCATGCGCGTGTACTTTGGCAACTGGCTCCGCGACTACAGCCAGGCCATTGACGTCGGTACCGTCAAGTCCGTCTCGGCCGAGGCCATTCGCCTGCTGCTCTGCGTCCTGGGCTTCCTGACGTTTGGCTATGGCTCCCGCGAATTCGAGGTCACCGCCGAGCGCCTGGGCACCTACCGCCCCGAAGACCACATCGACAACCCCAAGAACTACGCCGACAACCTCGACGCCCGCCGCTACGACCCGCGCCTCCGCGGCCCCGTGGACGAGCGTGTCGAGCTCGCCATCGACCCCGACTCGGGCATGAAGAACTACATTGCCAACGAGCGTGCTGGCATCATGACCAGCGCCTACCACGTCCGTCAGCTCTTTGGCAAGTGCATCGATCTCGGCCGCTCGTACCGCCACAGCAAGCGCAAGGAGGACCTGTACGAGGCTCTGCGCCTCATGGGCACCGGCCTGCACTGCCTCGAGGATTTCCTGGCGCACAGCAACTACACGGAACTAGCGCTGATTGAGATGGGCGAGACCAACGTCTTCCCGCACGTCGGCCGCAGCACACGCATCCGCCTCCGGGGCGCCGACCACAGCGTCTACCCCGTCGTGACGGGCACCTTTGGCGGCGTGGATTTCCTGCACTCCGTGACCGGCGAGGTGTCCGACAAGCTGACCCAGAACGAGATTCAGGAGCTTGAGGGCACCCTGCAGAGCAGCCAGAACACGGACACCAGCATGCTCGCCAGCGTGCTGGACATGATCCCGGACGGCATCTTCGGCGGCGGCAACAAGAAGGACAAGATGCACGACATTCAGGCCAACGCCGCGGCCGCGCAGATGCAGGAGATGAGCGTCTCGCCGCGCCGGCCGGAGGAGTACACGGTGTACATTAAGAACATTTTCGCGCAGATCATGCCCGCCATCCAGTTCCACGACGAGATCCTCCAGCAGATCACCGAGGCCATTGAGAAGATCCCCGTGCTCCCGCAGCTGGTGGAGCAGCTCGAGGACCAGCTGTCCATCTTTGTCTTCTCGGTCATTGCGCCGTTTGTCGTGCCCGTCATCCAGCAGATCCAAGCCGAGCTCGCCACGGGCTCGTCGGAGATTATCCAGAGCAGCAAGAACGAGCAGCTGGTTGTGTTCAACGACAACGAGAGCACCGACCCGACGCACTCGATGCTGTCCAAGGACCACTTTAGCAACATCCTCAACGAGATTGCCGGCCGCACGGCCAGCAAGGTGGTCACGTGGGTCGTCCCGCAGCTCATGCAAGCCTGGGACGACGACCGTGTCGACATTGGCCGCACGCTCAACCGCATCATCTACGGCGTGCTGCACCACCCGGCCCAGCGCGGCATGGGCGACGACGGCGCCCGCGACTGCCGCACCCTCATGTTCCGCAGCGTCGAGGAGTGGTGGCAGAGCATGCCCGACGAGCAGCGCGACGAGTACCGCGAGAAGCTGTCGCGCGAGGGCGTCGAGCGCGGCGACAATCACAAGGAGGGTGTGCACGACACCGGCCACGGCTGTGGCAAGCCGCTCACGATGCAGAAGAACATTACTGGCTTCGGGCCGTCTGGCGGCGGCGGCGGACTGCCAAACGAGCTCATGGGCGCAGCGGCCGGTGCCCTGTTCGGCGGTGCGGCGAGCAGCTTTGCTGGTGGTGGTGGTGGTGGTGGCAACAACTACACCAGCTCGGGCGGCGGCGGCAATCTTTTAGGCGAGATTGGCAACCTCATGGGCGGCGGCGGCGGCGGCGGTGGAGGTGGTGGTGGTGGTGTAGGCGGCCTCGGCAGCGGCGGAGCAGCTGGCCTAGGCGGTCTTCTCGGCGCGGCTGGCTCGCTCCTCGGCTCCGGCTTCCAGGAATCCACGCGGCCCACTGTCACCAGTTCCCAGTACGAGGCCGACGGCGGCTACAGCCAGACGTACACGCAGTACGGTCGTAACCAGGAGGGTGACCGCTACGCCCAGGCCGAGTTCAAGCGCACCGAGTACCCCGACGGCGAGGAGCGCACCGACTACCGCCGCTACGAGCAGGACGAGTTTGGCGGGCGTGGCCAGCGCCCCACGGGTTTTGCCTACGAGGAGCGCACCGACACGCGGCCGACGTACGGCGGCGGCTATGAACAACGCATCGAGGAGCGGCGGTGGGAGGGCGGCGGTGACAATGGCGGCGGCCGCTGGCAAGAGGAGCGCCGCGAGGAGTATAATGAGCGCCGCCAAGAGCGCTTCGAGGAGCGTCGCGAAGAGAGCGGCGGATGGGGCGGTGAGGGCGACCGTCGTCGCCCCGGTGGCTACGGCGAGGAGCGTGAGGAGTATGGCGGCAGTGGCGGCGGCGGCGGTGGATGGGGTGGCGGACGCGAGGAGCGCCGCGGCGAGTATGAAGGCGGCGGCGGCCGCCAGGGCTACGAGGACGAGAGTGGTGGTGGTGGTGGCCTCGGCGGATTCGTGAGCGGCATTGTGCGGGATGCGCAGGAGGCCTTTGAGGACGAGAACGGGGGTCGCCGCAACGAGAGACGCGAGGAGGGTGGCTGGGGCTTCTAAGGTCTACGAGGTTTACGAGAGATGTGTGATGATGGTGGTGAGTGGTGCAAATTGGGCCTGATTTCGCGGAGTAACGCGAAGGTTGTGATGGGGTTTAAGGGATGTTTCCCAAAAGCAAATGAAAGTTGATGTGTTATCCTGGAAGTAATGAGGATATGCTAAAAGATTTTCTTTTTCATGTTTGATTTTTTATAAAAACACTCCAAAATAAACGATGTTTTATGTTTTCGAAAATATAAAATAAATGCAATACAAATAAAATAAAATAAAAATAATTTTTGGCCTATCACTAATTCACAAAATGGGACATCAGTGCACAGAGCAGGCAAAGGACCACCCCTAGCGAGTCATGCGATGAGGAGTCACACCCAGCGGTAGACGAACACAACAGACGTTGGATCTGACGTGGACCAGCCTCCTTCAATTCACCCCATTTCTCGTTACCAATGGCCATCGTGGGATCGGCAGCATCAGTCCTTGTTCCGGTGTCTGTTCTTTCTGTGTCTGCTCTAGAAAGTTTCCTCACTTCTGCCCCCTGTTTTCTCACTCGTCGACTTCTCTATAAGTTATGTTTTGATCTATATTTACGTCTACTCATCCCATGTATATTAATACCGGCTCAACCGTTCTCGGCTCGCTGCCCAGGAGCCTGATAGACATATATTACGTACGTATAACAAATACCACATACTCTTGCGTACCGCAATTTTGTCCCCCCAAATTGGCGCACTTGGACCGGCGAGTATGGCAATACTGCTGTGTTCCTGGCTTCCTCTCTCTGCCCAAACAAACTCGGCCTCAGAGTGAAATGTCGGTTTCTGTCTTTCGAATAGTCCACCAATCGAACCAACCCCGTTTAGCCTTCTGCCACTGCGACAGCACACAATATCATCGCCGACCACTCCGCCTCGCACAGTATTGCCGTCTTGGTATGTGGGGTAGCCCCCCTGTCGTATTGATTGCCCAGCGGTGTTTATATTAATGCGCTCGACGCGCACTCGCCCACCAAATCGCAATATGGATATATATGTTTCGATCCCGAACGCTGGCTAGTCATTTTGGGCATGTCCCACCCACCCATCGACTCGACTCGATCGAAGAGTGCTCTGCATGTGGCTCTCACCGGCAGACCAGGCCGTCGATCTCCACAGTCTCACCAGGGGACGTGGGCGCATTCAGGGACAGCCATTCAGGAACAGACAGAGGTTTGCCAAATACGATCGAGGCAGGTACAGTTGCGCATCCTCGAACCGGGGGCCGTGTCCGCAGTTACTCAACTGGGAATGACTCGAGGGGGCGCGTCAGACGGCCCCTCTGTTGATCGACGATACGACGAGCAGCGCCGAGATGCTTTGTGGGGTTCTGGGCCCTATGGGTGAGGTCAATGGCGGAAGGCGTCCCATGTGGTCCATGGGGCCCATTTGCTCGAACCCGGGCCATCCTGTAGAATGGGCCTCTGTTTTGAGCGGGCTTCGTCTCGATACGGCCGACAATGAGGCAGATAGAGGCGGGCTAATAGCGGGACTGGTAAAACTCAGCGCAGAGGATTGAGGGGGAACCGTGAGGTAGGAAAGACGGGTACATGATATAAAGAGAGGAGCTGCCATGGACAGCCGGGGATTTGGCTTTTGTGGCTTTTGTGGCCTTCCCAGCAGCTTTCTTCCTCGTCATACAAGCCGTGATCCTCCCTCGGTCCCCACGAGCATCGCCGTCGTCTTCAGTGAAAGAGCGCTCCTGCATCCACTCGTCCACTCATCCACTCATCCACTCTTCCACCCCATCCCACTCCTGCCCCCCTTCACAATGATTCCTACACAAGCTCTCAGCGCCCTCGTGCCGGCGGCTCTCCTGCTGTTTGCGCAGTCGGCCGGCGCCGACAGCACCGGCACCACCACGCGCTACTGGGACTGCTGCAAGCCGTCGTGCGCCTGGCCCGGCAAGGGCAGTCTCGCCCAAGGCCCCGTCGCCACCTGCGACAAGAACGACAAGCCGCTCAACGACAACGGCGCCACGGCGTCGGGGTGCGACAACGGTGGCGGCGCCTTTATGTGCTCGTCGCAGGCGCCCTGGGCCGTCAACGACACGGTCGCGTACGGCTACGCGGCGGTGCGCATTTCGGGCAGCACCGAGAGCGCGTGGTGCTGCGCGTGCTACGAGCTGACGTTTACGAGCGGGCCCGTGCAGGGCAAGAAGCTGGTGGTGCAGGCGACGAACACGGGCGGCGACCTGGGCGCGAACCACTTTGACCTGGCTATCCCGGGCGGTGGCGTGGGTGCGTTCAATGCCTGCACGCAGCAGTACGGCGCGCCGCCCAACGGCTGGGGCGACCGGTACGGCGGCATCCACTCGGCGTCGGACTGCGCGAGCTTCCCGCAGGCGCTCAAGGCGGGCTGCCAGTGGCGCTTCGACTGGTTCAAGGGCGCCGACAACCCGAGCGTGACCTTCAAGCCGGTGACGTGCCCGGCCGAGCTGACGGCCAAGTCGGGCTGCAAGCGCAACTAGGCGATGCCGATGCCGATGGCCAGAGTGGCTTGACGTGAGGTTAGCGGATGGGTCAAGGAGGCGAGAAAGGGACGGAAAGGACAAAAACAAAGGGGAAAGAAGCCAAGGAGATGAGACTGGAGACACATTGTGACGCAGGGACAGGCTCATCATTTGTACAAACGCCCCGAGGATCAAAATCCTGAACAAAAAGCATATTTTCGTAAAAAAGAAAACAAACACACAAACCGTTGGCTCGGTAGAGCTCCTTTTGTTTCCCTTGCCACCATCTGCCCTCGCCATCGACGGCCTGTCCGGATCTCGCGATGCTCTGGCCCTGCCGACTCTTTTGGCCATGCATGGCTGTGTGGCCCAGGATTCCCATTTTTTCCATTGTGTGTACCGTTGCACAACATCGGGACTGGCTTGGTCCCTGTTGGCCACGGATGACTGCCTCTCTGTCCATCTCTGTTTGGAATTTTGTATTCCTCATCGCCTGCTGGTTTCTCTGCCCAGCTCTTCCAGATCGTCGTCGCTGGACCTCGCGTTTGGCTCTGCGTTTCACACCGGCCTGCGAGATGTGGTCATTTGTGTTTCGGAGTCGCCCACAGCCATGGTTCAGCCTCAGTCCTGTCGTTATTCATCTCTCTTTTCTCTCGTCTCTCGTCTCTTGTCTCTCGTCTTTTGCCGTTCGTTTTTCTTGCCCTCCTTTTTCCATCTCCTGGACGAATTGCCGAAGGGAACGAGGTCGAGCAACGACGATCGCGACGAGCCCTGCAGACAACTATCTCGTAGACAATGCGCAGCCGGATCAACGCCCAAACGGGAAAACGATGTGATCGACCGAGACCGCCCTTGGAGCGGAACGAAATGCAGACAAAGCTGACCTGAATTACGCCTTGTGGCGCGCCGTTAGAAGGAACGCCGCCCACTAGTCCAGGTCCAGACCTTTGGGAACGCAGCGGACCTGCCATACGGTTGTAACTGCCCCTAATGGTAGCAGGGAGCGCGCGGCGAAGGGGGCCCAAGTCGGCAGGAGCGTTTGTACGTCGTACATCGTATGACATATGGTTCGTCGTTTTGGTCTTTTTTTCTTTTCTTTATTTAATTTTTAAACATTGCTGGCAAGGGCGACAGACAGTCTACAGTCGCAAATACGGAAATACAACAGTATCTTACCCCTTACCAACGGCTGCACCTTCCCCGCCGGCCAGCCGACACGAAGACACCTACTCAGTAGAAAGCCCAAAAAGAAAGCAGTGACTTGGGTTCTTGCCTACCTCAGCAAGGCCCCAATTTCCCTCGCACTTTAGTGGAGACTCTGATGCGCAGCGCTAGCGGCTGTAGTGGAAAAAGGATGCTGTGGCGTGTCTACTTCCTTTTTCTACTCTACTCCGTACGGTGCGGCTCTCCAAGATTTGATGCCTTTTGGCGCCTTCCCTCCCCGTGCCCAGTCGTGCCCAGGCGTGCCCAGTCGTGCCCAGTCCAGAGTGCGTGCCTGTTCCGCACGCCCCGGTCTGGAAGAAGAAAGCTTGGAGGGCTTGGAAAGCTTGTTCCTTCCCATCTGCAGAATGCGTCTCGCGTGGCTGTTGCACCTGTCATGGTGGCGTTGGTCGCGCCTTCTCAAAGTATCTCTTGTGGCATGCATCGATCGCGACTGCCATAACGTTACAGGATGTAGAATCCGAGTGCCAATTTTATTCTACTTGCGCAAGTAACTCAACTGTGAATGGCTGCCGCCAATTGCTCTTCTGTCCACCTCTCCATTGGACTGTCGTCTCGAGACAGATACCGTTTGTGTACACTTTCAACCCCCTCTCCAGTGTGATTCTGGACTGGACGTGTCTGTCGCACCTTCTTACACTTTCCTCTTTTTTGGCGATCGCTCCTGCCTGGTGCGTCAGCTGTTGTGTCGACCGTGCCGAGCGTGCCTTCTCTCTGTTCCTCATTTCCCTTCTTTCCTCTTTTTTGTCGTCCCGCTTCAATGAAGCCAGAAATTGTCGCTCGGCCCTTTCCAACCCAGTAGACGGGGAAGGGCATATCAATGTCTCTTTCCCTTTGAGTGGCATCCCGTCCCTGCCTCAACCCTAACCCGCGCTGAGGCGGGACGCTCCTTCTCGTTTTGCGTTCATTCTTGCCTTCTCGTGACCTTCAGGTCCTTTGTCGACGCTGCCCACAACTAGCTCTGTAAAAAGTGGCAGTCAGAAACCATCGTTGCGCATGCGTCTGTACAGCCTCCTTCTCGATTCGTATTCGCCCAATTCCAATATCTCCTCATCTTTCCTCATTTCATCTGTTAGCTACCCCCCTTCGCTCTTTCCCCCCATTTCGTTTGCGCTCTGTGAATTTTGCAACTTTCATTTTGGCCTGAATTTCCACTTCTCATTTCTGTCGTCTTTCCCCCTTTTCCCTCAACATCACATCTTCGGCTTTCGTCACGCTGCCCAATTTTGGTTCCATTTGCAGCAGCTACCCGGAAAAGGGCTGTTGTTGATGGGTCAGGGTCTTGGCAGCCCGAAACACTTCCCATACGCAAAGTCCTTTTGATTGACCCGTCTGTCTTAATTCCTCATTCTTTGTCTTTGGCCTCCTCTGCAGGCCCTGCGTTAATCCCTTTACCCACCCTGGGCTCTCCACGACGCACCCATTCGTCCTAGTTCGTCCCTGTCCACTGCACTGAGTAGGTTCGCCGCAGTTCGTCCACATCCGCGCTGATTCCGCCACCAAACTCTCTCTGCCATTTACTCTGTGGAGTATTCTCCACGAAAGCCAGCCCCTCCGGCCCTGGCTGCCACACGTCGAGGCCCCCCCGATTCCTTCTTGTCCTTTCTTAATAGGAAGAGACCTCGCTCTTTTTTATCCTTCCGCCGTCTGCCGCCGAGAGAAAAAGCCAAGAAAACCAGCGTCACAATTTGCAACCAGGGCCTTGACTTGTAGTTGACCCTGGACTTTTCCTCGCATCCTCTCTCTTCCCTTTCCTTCTCAAAGGTTTGGGCTTCTCCAAACCATCTCATCATGATTGACCATGAGCTTGTGTAAGTCTCATTCCTTTTCCAATTCCACTGGTTTTCCTGTCGTGGCAGGCTCGGTTTGGCCTCGTGCAGTCATTTGTTCTCCCGATGGCAATCGTCTTGGCGCCGAGCAACGGGGCTTCTCTTGGCTTGTCGCCTTGTCTCGCGCGACGACCCGTCTCTCTTGTCCCTGGGTTGTGTGTCTTTGTGTCTCGCCATTCATCTCAGGATCTGGGATTCCCGCTTTATCGATACCTCTCCCTTTTTTTTTTTTTGCGATCGCATCCGGTTTGCGATGCGGTGACGATCAAGTTTGCCGCCCCATCCTGGCTCCTCGCACAGCGCCCGCCAAACGACTCGGCTGCAACGCGTCTCTCACCCATTCGCAACAGCAGAGCAGCAACACAATCACAAACGATGACAGGCACGAGACATACGGCGCACACGACAATGACGACGAACGCAGGGATGAAATGGGCCTGCACTTTCACCCCCCGCAGACGTTACTGCCAAGAGGTCGCCAAGACTGCCACAAAGCAGAGACAGGAGCGCGTTTCCGAGAAGCAGAATTGCAGAATTTTACTGACGTTTGACAGCTCTTGATGGAGTCCAAAATGTTGTGTACGTATTGGCCTTCTTTTCATTTTCACATCGTTCTGCTTCCGTCCTCCCTGCACCATGCTGGGACCTCGGTCCAGCCGTCATTCCATACCCCGACATGTCTGGTTGTCCGTTCTTTTTGACGCACACCCTGTGTCCCTATCCCTTACCCCTTCCGTCAATGTCGAGGGTGCATCGTCTCGCCGCTCCATCTCGGCCAACCCGGAAAGCGCGCAAGTGTGTCGCGTTGCAAGTGCCCCCCTGCTGGACTGCGCATCCGGAGGTCCGGCATGGATCCCATTTTCCTTGCTGCTACGGTTCGTGGGTCAGCGCTTCTTTTCCACACGATTCCGAGGCGGCCAAGGCTGATTGCGCGGCCTCTCACGTGCAAGTGCAGCCCACAGGAGCAAGCCCCAATGAGGCACAGGGGAGATGGAGTCGCCCTTTTTTTTCGGACAAGAGTTGGGGCGCATATCGAAATTTTGCTGCTGTCTGGCTGATCGAATTGGCTTGGAATCAACTGCAACTTTGTTGTTTTTGTTTTTTGTCCTCTTTTTCAGTAATGCAATTTTTGCGAGCTTTCCGGATTGTGTCGCGGGTTTTGCCACAGCTCCCCTTTTCCTACCACTGCACACTTTCAGCACTCCACCGCGCGCCAATCCTCACCCGAATTCGCATTCCCCCGCATGACAGGCAGTGCCAAGCCAGCCAAGCTTTCCTTGGCTGAACCACAACGGTGGAACCAACCAACCACGCCGTGGATCGCCCTGGCCTTGAAAGCTTCAATGGCGAATAGGACATTAGTGGTGGTACAAAGACTCGCTTTCAGATCTGTGACAGCTTTGTATTTACCGTTTGATAAATACTTGCTATATTGTTTGTGCACAGCCTCGTCATGTTTCCCTCCAGCTATCTCTTGTATCTTGTTGCTTGGCGTCTCCCTTATTCTTGTTCCATCACAATATCATGGTCCAGACCACCCACACATGTTGCCATCATGCCGTCATGCTGCTGCAGTGGACACTCCATTTCTCTTCAACAATCTGCTAACATTCTCCAAGGCTCCTTTTCAGTGACCCAATCTACGAGGGGCAGACAACAGTCCCAAGTAGAATCCTTCGAAATCTAACGGCTGTGAGCGGCGACATTGCATATTCAGACCATGTCACCGACAACCTGACCGTCCTTCTCTCCAAGTTCACAGAGACGCAGAACGGTATATTACAAGGTCTCCTTTACGTTCCTGACCTTGACCCTGATGACCCCTGCTACGTCTCGGAGAGCGATTATGTCCCCGACTCCGTTGTCCGCCAAAGCAACCTTCCTTCCACCAACTTCAATCTCATCGCTCTCGCACCCTGGTACAGCGTCAACTGCACCCAGTCCTATCTTGCATCTGCACGCTACGACCCCCTGCGTGCCTTTCTCTTTTACCTACCCACCAATGATACGTCAAAACCGCCTGACGAGGACTCGGACGTCTGGGATCTGCAAGACGATGGAGAATGGAGGCTCGAGAACCACTACCCAATCTTTGCAGTCTCTGGCGCCCTTGGCCAGGAGATGATGTACCAACTAAGCCTTTACTCAGGCAATCTCACGGATATTCCCTTTGGTGAAAATATTAGCGAGATCTACAACCCTGACCCCGACGACTATGTCCGCATATGGACCGAGCTCACCGTCAGCACACCGACCGGCCTGCCCAATGTCTGGGTCTTCATCCTGGCTGTCATCGGCGTGCTGCTCGCCGTCATCACCGTCATCTCTCTCTTCATGCACTTTTTGTGGCGGCGAAGACGTGCATCGCTTCAACGGCGCGTGGTAGTGGGCGAGATCAACCTCGAGGCGATGGGCATCAAGCGCCTGACGGTCCCACCGAGCCACATACAGAAATTCCCGCTCTTCACATACAACTACGATCCACCGCCACCGCAGAGCCCGCCTGTCTCGCCTACCACCGAAGCCGTAAGCACCGTTTCGCCACGGTCATCCACACCCCCTTCTGCCTCCCTGGCATCACGACGACTTTCCCGACGATCCCAAAGTAGGCCACACCAGAGCCTCGACGCTGCTTTGGATAGCGAGGCTATCACTAGCTCCAACTCCACTTCGGACGCTCGAAGTCAGTCGGCGTCTGACTACAGCGCACCCGCCGTGCCGACGGCGACGGCCGTACCAGCGTCTCCGGTGGCTGAAACGATTTCCGAAGCCCCAATTGTTGGCGACTTGGAGTACCAGCCGAAGTGCCAGATTTGCCTGGAGCCGCACCAGAATCGCGTGACCATTATTCGCGAATTGTCCTGTGGCCACATCTTCCATCCCGAGTGCATCGACGAGTTTTTGGCCCATGTCAGCTCGCTGTGCCCGCTGTGCAAGGCGAGCATGCTGCCGCGCGGGTACAGCCCACGCATCACCAATGCCATGGTACGCCGTGAGCGGGCCATTCGTCGACTGCGCGAGCGGGTCGTCGTGGATTATGTGAACAGTCCTGGAGATCGCAGCCGTATCCACAGCTGGAGCTCGTCGATCATGAAACACCTGCACATCACGACGGACCGGCTGTCGGTGTCGCCCAGTCTTGGCACGCTCACGGCCGACCGCGAGTCAGGCATCGAGCTCAAGAACCAGTCGATTCTGCGCACGCATTCGATCCATCAGTTGCCGGCGATGAATACGTCGGAGGCTACACGGCGGCGGATGGCACGATTGGCTGGGATCCAGTTGCGCGACCTGGAGCCCCAAAAGGACGAGACGTGTAAGCCTTGTGTGCACCGTTACCAGAGTATGCATATCGTCAATGACAGATACTAACGCGCCGAATAGGGAAAGGAAGAATCAAGGCTGCGTGGACGAAAGTTTTTTAACTTCACCATCAGCCGGTAATTATCACGGCATACGGCGGACGACATACGATCGAGCGAACATAACGGGAAATGAAAAAGCATAGCGCGCATTATGACTAGAGGCGCAAAAAGCAAACAAAAACGGCATCATCCTCCGCCTCCTTATTACATCATCACTTTGTCCAGTATCATACCCATTTGCATTTTTATGTACGGGAGGGAATTGTCATTCTCTCCCAGGCACGGCCTAGATCATGAAGGCGTTTTTTACGGCGGGTTACGTCTGTTTGGTCTTTTCCGGATATTTCGTTTTTCATATCGTTTGAAGTCTTGGAACGGCATTTCCAGGCGATACCTAGGATGCCATCTGTCCAGAGCAATCTATGGCCACCAGTATGGTGGCTTGGCTTCCAAGTAGACCGAAAAACGCAGGAAAGAAGGGCGTATATCCCGCACCCATATATCTTGACATCTTCAGGAAGCCCTCTTGTTTCCTTTTCTTTTCACTTGTATATATATTTGCCGTACGACTCTTGTATATACTCTGTTTATATTGTGGCTGTGCATGAATACTCGCTCCGTTTTGGAGCTTGGCAGAGAAAATGAGACACGAAAAGATGCATTTGAAGAAATGGATAGTAGGATTCATGACCGCATTCCCACTGTCTGGGGATGGAATGGTAGTCGTTGTACGCCGAAAAACGCCCCTTGCTAGTGATATGAAAGACAAGTACGGTAACCGTCCCCTCCAATGATTTTGTATCGTACCGGTGAAAACCCGAGACCAGCCCATAAAATCAATACTAGAACAGCAAAAACAAAAAAAACCTATGGTCAGCCCTTTCACTCTTCGTCGACCTCCTCGTCCCAAGCCGCCTTTTCTCTCTTGAGCAGGCCGGCCATCTCGCTGGGCTGGAAGATGCTGCTGTTGGGATCCTTGGACCGCGGCACGCGCTGCAGCCGCTCGTCGTCAAAAACGGTGCCAATGTTCTCCATCCACCGCTTGCGGCGCTCCATGAGCGTCCGGGTCATGTCGCCAATGCCAGGCCGGGCCATGCCGGCCGCACCGGCGCCGGCGGCGCCGGCGGCGCCTGCACCGGCGGCGGCACCGCCACCCGGCCGCTTGCCCTTCTTGGACTTGCCCATGGTGCGCGTGCGCTTCAGGTAGGCGCCCTGGACCTGGCCGTCGAGGTCTTCCAGGATGGTCTGGTACTCCTGGTAGGCCATGCGCTCCTTGACGAGGTCGGCCAAGCGGGCCTTGCGGGCGCCGTTGATGAGCATCTGCTCGCGCAGACCAGCCTGCAGGCGGCGCAGGCGGGCGGCGATTTCGTCGTCAAAGTGGCCGTTGTAGTCGGCAGCGAGGGACGGGTCGACGTCGCCACCCGTGGTGGTGGTGGTGGTGGCGGCGGCAGCACCATTGGTGTTGCTCCCGCTGGCCGCACCGGCGGCGCTGCCGTTCGCGCCGTTGCTGGCCGACGTGCCATTGGCGGTTGCGCCGGCCGCGCCCACGGCGCCATTGGCACTGCTCCCGTGCGCGACGCCGTTGGCGGCGACGGCGGACGCCGACGACGACGGGTCGGGGAAGGGCAGGAAGCCAATGTGGCGCAGCTCCTGCTTGATGCGCTCGTCGACCTGGCTGTACTCGAGCTTGGGGTGGGTCGTCTTCTTCCAGGACTCGGACGACGATTCGGGCATAAAGGTGGCCGGCGGCCACGAGCGGTCGCCGTCGGCGCCGCCGCCCGGTCCGTCGTTGAGGTCGCCATTCATGCTGACGTCGCCGTTCATGGACGTGTCGCCGCCGGCGCCGGCGCCGCCGGCGTCGGGCGCGCGGTGCTCGGGCCGCATGGCCTGCATCAGGCGCGCCAGCAGGGGGCCGACGGACAGCTTGTCGGTCTCCCCGATGTCGTCGGTCATGGTCTCGATGGAGCCGCGCGGCTGGTTGGGCGGCAGTTGCTTGTCGTGTGTGCTGGCGGAGGCGGGCGGCGTCGAGTCAATGGCCATGGCGCCGTCCTCCTCGGCCCAGATCTCGGTGTAGTGGCGCTTGCCCCGCTTGGGCATGCTAAAGGGCGACAGGCGGTTGCCGCGCTCGCGCAGAAAGGCCAGGTCCTCTTCGGTAAAGGGGCGGAAGTAGGGCTCGATGTAGGTGGAGAAGGTGGAAAAGTTGATTTGGTTCGACGGCTTGGCGCTACTAAAGTCCTTGTCGGGGGGGTTGCCCGCAATCAGGTCGGCGAGGTCCGACGGCGGATACGAGGCGACCGAGTAAATCTCCTTGATCTCGTCCACGGACATGCCGGGGGTGACGGGGCGAATCTCGTAGACGGTCGGGTCGGGGAACGTCGAGGGATCCTCGCCAAACGTCTGGTTCTGGGGCACGGGTCGCGGCGGCGGCGCACCCTCGTCGTCGGACGATTCGGACTCGGACGCCGACGCGTTCGCGTTGGCCTTGTCCTTGTCGTCGCCCGGCGCCGACTTGCCGTCTTTGTCTTTGGAGGCCTTGTCCTTGTCGTCGACGTCCATGGTGCCCGGCGTGCCGTGGGATGCGGATGCGGATGCGGATGCGGCGTCTTGCGACTGGCTGTCGCCCGAGGGCGCCTTGCGCTTCTTCTTGTTGGCGCGCCGCTGGTGGTCCTCGTCGGTGGCCTCGCGCTGGATGCGCTCCTCCTCGCGGCTGCGGTCGGCAGCCACCTGGTCCATGCGCGCGCGGCGGCTCTGCGACAGCAGCCGCATGCCCCGGTCGTAGCTGCTGCCGCGATCGTCGGCAATGCCCTGCAGCCGCTTCAGGCGTGAGATGATGCCGTCCAGCGACCTGGAGTCGGGCAGCGTCGAGCCCGTGCCCGAGCCGGCGTCGACAAGGTCATCGTATGTGAGGTTGTCAAAGACTTCGAACTTGAGGTCGAGGTACTGCAGGTCGATTGTGGTGATCTCGGGCAAGCTCGCCGTGGCAGCGACTGGTGGCGGGGCGGCGACGCTCGACGGGGTGGTATTGCGCGACCGCTGGCGCGACAGGTTGCTGCCACCCTTTTTGCCGGTGCCCTGGCCGGGCGGCATTGTGCGCGTGTGGGGAGGGAGAGGTTGAGGATCGCGGTGAGTGGTAGGTGAGGGTTGTCACAGGTCGATGACGAAATGTCGAAATATCGAAATATCGAAATATCGAAATGACGAAGCCGATGGACGGCGACGAGGCGGGGCGCGCAAGGGCGCGTGTACGCAGGGGCGAGGCGGTTAATTGTTGCGCATGAGAGCAAACGTCGTCGAGAAGAGGGCAGCGTCGCCGATATTTCGATGGACAATGGGTGGTACGCCGCGTGGTTGATGAGACTCCCCGAAATGGCGAAACGTCGATGCACCGCGCCGCGTGGAGCTGAGCGCAGTATGCGGGAGGTCCCACGGCGGACAGCTGGGGCTGCGCCGGGCGGAAGAATAAAGGGCCGAGGTTCGGTTACAGTGGGCTATTGTGATTATGTAAGGATTGCGATCAAGTGGGTCCCTGCTGGGTCCCAGAATGGCTGCGCAGCCTTGTTGGAGGGGTCTTGAGCCTTGAGCTCTGAGCTTCTATTATGGTGTCTTGCAGAAGCTCCTATTCTACGCACTTGATGACAATGGCCACCAGACATTCGGGTATCGTCAACTGCCGACCAGATCACGCACTGCGCTCTGCTGCAGATGGGCGTGTTTCTCAGCAGACTCGACGCGGCAAAGCACCTGCATGTCTCTGTTCGTTTCTTTCTCTTCCTGTCTCGCCCACCCCTGTCGGACGTCGTACTTCGGCCGCAAAGACTGGAAGACAGGAGACAGGGAGACAGGGCTTGTAGTGTTAGGAGCCAGACGCTGGAACCGGGGATCGGCCAATTGATTGCATCTGCACTGAAGATGTCTTGGGCTGCCTTGGCCGAGGCAGCTTGCGCTTCGGGCGTTACCAGCAGGAGGAAATTAAGCTGACGTACAGAATACAGCAAGAAACGAGACAAGAAGTCAGTCTTACGAACAGAGAAAATAGGGAATCAACACACTATAGGGAATCAACACACTACCGCCGGATAATTGGGCTGTAGACGCAGTGAGGAGGGCATCCAAGACTGCAACAAACCCTCCACCCCAGACAGTGAGTGCACGCAGCTCCGATTCGGAACGACAAGCCGGCGCATGAGACACAAGACGAGAACGGCAACAGGACAATCCAAGAGACCAAGAGAATACTCCGTAGAGCGACAAAGGAAACGCACGTTAAGGCGGCCCAGATCGGCAATTGGGTTGGGCACGCGCGGGAGAACAAGGAAGCAGGCCGCGAGGATCTTGAGACGAGCAAGAGAACAAGATGAACGAAACAGACAAGACGTACGATTTACAAGACCAGGGCGAGAGGAAGATCCCACGTTTTGTCGTCGTGGTCGTGCAGCTCGCAAGACACAAACAGGCTATTCTGCATGTGCGCGAAACAAGGGCCGCGATTGGCACCTCGCCAGAGGGTCCCACTTGTTCACGGCTTGGGCGATTCCCAACAACAGGCGGCACTAAAGAAGCCAGTAGTTGTAGACCCTGGAAGGTTTGCCCTACGAGAGCAGTACGACGGACCTTGTTCGAGATTCGAGCTTGGGTGGAGGCCACGATGCGCGTGACAGTGACAAAGATTTTGGGAGTCTGAAAGTCCCAGGCGACGAAAAGACTTGGATACAGACAGTACAGACAGCTAATGCCATGCAGGACAGCATCTTCTTTGGTCGAACAGAAACCAGGAACTCTCCAACACGGCTGAGCCTTGCACGCCTGGACGGCTTGACACTGGCAAGTGTCCAAAGTATCCAGCTAATTTAGCGGCGACAATCGCGCTCTTTGCTGTCGTCTCTTGTCCCCCGTGTCTCGTTTCCTGTTTTCTCGACTCTCAGACAAGCTCCAAGACACACCTTGCACCACCCCAACGGCTCAAAGTCTCGTTGCTAGGCCCGTAATCATCAACGTGGGGAGTGTCAAGAGTGGACGGCCCAAAGGGGAAAGCGTCGAAAAGTGTGGAGAGTCTCGAGTCTGGCGAGTTTGGCGAGTGCAAAGTGATGCGCGGCACCCTGCCCAGCTCGCCAAATGGATCGAGCACGCGGTGCCTTCATTGGCCAATGCACCACGCCGCAACTGGGCTGCGAGCTAAAGGGCCGCATATCACTCGGCATCTCTGTTCTCTGTGATAGGATGATACGATGCTGCGGAATGGAGAATTGTCTGGCAGGCTCAAATGAAGAAACGACCCAACAAAACGGGCACCACATACAGACATGTGAGTGCACCATTCTGCGCGAGGCCAGGTTGGCTAGGTCGTTGCCAGCGACCAGCCAACAGCCAACAGCCCTTCTCCTGCGTGTCGTCAACATCCCTGCGGATGGCCGAGAAAGGACATGCGGACAGGCAAGGCACTGTATATTGCCGCCTAGAGAGCTGTAAGCGTTGTATCGGAGGGTCCATCTGGCGCCTGCTGTCTGTTCCCGGCCGAGATCGTCAACCCCTCGCCGTGCCTTGCTCCTTGTGTCCTCCCCCCTACTGAGTAGCTGTTCCCCTCGATGCCCCTCTTGTCCTCGGCGTCCTTTGGTATCCCAACATACCCCTCGACCCTGATTCTTGGTTGCCCCTAGCTCGTCTCAGCCGGTCGCGTGGGCTGAGGACGTGCCTCCTGTCGTCTGTCGTCTGTCCTTGTTCTGTCGAGTAAGTACTCGCGTGTTCTTGTGCGTTGGCGCTGTGCCCCTGTGTCCAAGACACAATGCACACACGCCCACGTCGCCCATATCCTCCGGCAGGGTCAAGCGACCACCGGCCCAATCGTCCGCGTGCTCTCGAGACAAAGCGGTCCGGGTATATACTGAGACCAGGTCCCTCCTTCCCTTTGTACGTTCGTTTTATTTGTCCTTCTCTCCTTCCTCCTTTCTCCTCCCGTCTCTCGCTCTTTCCTGTTCTGCTTTGTTTGTTCCTTCCTCTTGTCCCATTGTCTGGTCTCACCTGCAACTTCCATTTTCGGACATTTGGTCTCCTCCCTCTGTCCTCCTTCCTCTTTCCTCGTCAACGTCAACCCCTGACCTGCATCTTGTCTCACTCGATCGTGCATGACGGTATAAAGAAACCGCCGTCGCCCCAACGCACACAACCAACCCACTCTCTCCCGCGCGCCAGCAATGAGAGAGTACCATGGCTTCTCTTGGTGGTAACATAACGCCCCCGGATGTGGACAGCAAACTCATCTTTGCCGGGCTGGCAGTCCTCCTATCGGCTGCCATTGGCATCACCAAATACTCATCGTCGTCGTCGTCGTCTGCTCCAGCGGCAGCCTCGACCAAGACCGACGACAGCCAGCCGAGCCTCGTGCGCTCGGTCCTGCTCTTCTGCTACTCGTGCTTCATCAAGCCGCACCGCAGCTCGGCCAAGGGCTCCCAGCAGGATGCCCTTGAGAGCTTCTACGAGACGCAGGCGGGCGTCTACGACGTGACCCGCAAGACCCTGCTCAAGGGCCGCGAGGACATGCTGGCCCTCGTGGCCGCCCAGCTGGCCCACCGCTGGGCCGTCGAGGACGCTGCCGCCAAGAAGATCGGCGGCAGCAACAACAGCGCCGATGCGCGCCCCAAGCGCATCTGGGTGGACGTCGGCGGCGGCACCGGCTGGAACATTGAGGCCATGGCCGCCCACGTCGATGTGCCCAACTTCTTCTCGAGCGTGTACCTGGTCGACTTCTCGCCGTCGCTGTGTGCCGTTGCGCGGAAGCGCTTCGCGCGCCTCGGCTGGACCAACGTGCACGTCATCTGCGAGGACGCCCGCAAGTTCCGTCTCGAAGACTACGAAAGTGGCCTTCCGAGCCGTCGCAGCAGCGTCGTCGCCGCCGCCGCCTCGCCCGCCTTCCCCGGCCAAGGCTACTTCTCGTTTGACCGCCCGGACCACGGCGGCGCCGACCTGATCACCATGTCCTACAGCCTGTCCATGATCCCCGACTACTACTCCGTCGTCGACTCGCTGTCCTCGCTGCTGGCGCCCAACGGCATTCTGGGCGCCATTGACTTTTACGTCCAGAGCAAGGCCGACTTCAGCTTCCGCAACTACACGGGCGGCCTCGTCAACCGCCACACCAGCTTCCTGGGCCGCACCTTCTGGCGCTCCTGGTTCGAGCTCGACCGCGTCAGCCTCGACGCCAGCCGCCGCGACTACCTCGAGTACCGCTTCGGCACCGTCCTCAGCGTCAACTCGCGCAACTACTCGCTCGGCTCCATCCCCTACTACATCTGGCTCGGCTGCCACAAGAAGCCCTTCCACGTCACCAGCCTGCCCCACGAGGTCGTCGAGCGCATCGACGCCATGGTCACCGAGTCCCCCTATCTGCACGGCAACACCATGGCCCTGGCCAGCAGCGGCGGCCGCAGCGGCGCCTACGGCACCGGCTCGGCCGGCGGCCGCCCCATCCCGCCCCCCAGCCCGGCCACCACGCTGTCGCGCGCTGTCCAGCGCACCGCGCCCGAGATCCGCTCCAAGGCCTTCCAGACCGCCATTGCCAACCTGTCGGCCAACCTGCCTCTGCCTGCCTTCTTCTACCAGAACCACCACTGGCGCATCTACTACGACGACCAGCTCCCCAAGCACACCCAGTTCCGCGACGAGTACATCTACGCGTTTACGTGGGAGGACACCCGCGTCGACGAGCGCCTGCTCAAGCTCAACGAGAAGGACGTCGTGCTCGCCATCACCAGTGCCGGCGACAACATTCTGTCCTACGCGCTGCAGAGCCCCGCCCGCATCCACGCCGTCGACCTCAACCCTGCCCAGAACCACCTGCTCGAGCTCAAGGTCGCCGCCTACACCGCCCAGATCCCCTACGAGGACTTTTGGCTGCTGTTTGGCGCCGGCAAGCACCCCGGCTTCCGCGAGCTGCTCATCACCAAGCTGTCCCCGCACCTGTCCAGCCGCGGCTTCCAGTACTGGCTGCGCAACGAGCGCGTCTTCACCAAGGCCGGCGGCCGCGGCCTCTACGACACGGGCGGCTCCAAGAACGCCATCCGCCTGTTCCGCTACCTCAGCTACGCCTTTGGCCTGCGCCGCGCCGTCGCCGCCATGCTCGCCGCCAAGACGCTCAACGAGCAGCGCGAGATCTGGCGCGCCAAGATCCGCCCGGCCCTGCTGTCGCGCACGCTGTCGCACCTCGTCGTCAGCCAGGAGTCCTTCTTGTGGGCCGCCCTGGGCGTGCCCAAGAACCAGCTGGCCATGATCGAGGCCGACCACGCCAGCGACCAGGCCGCCAGCAACAAGACGAGCAGCCGGTCCAGCGCCGTCTGGGAGTACATGGTCAACACGCTCGACCCCATGGTCGAGACCGTGCACATGGCCGCCGACAACCCCTACTACTACGTCTGCATGGACGGCCAGTACGCCCGCCGCTGCCACCCCGACTACCTGGCCCCGCAGGCCCACGCCCGCCTGTCGCGCCCGGGCGCCTTTGACGGCCTGCGCATCCACACCGACGAGATCGAGGAGGTCATTGCGCGCCTCACGCCCGGGTCCCTGACCGTCGCCGTCGTCATGGACAGCATGGACTGGTTCGACCCGGAGGACAACGCCCTGCAAAAGACCAACTGCCCCAGCAGCGAGACCGGCGGCGCCGCCGCCGCCAGCCAGATTGCCAAGCTCAACCGCGCCCTCGCCCTCGGCGGCCGCGTCCTGCTGCGCTCCAGCGCCCGCACGCCCTGGTACATTGCCGTGTTTGAGCGCCTGGGCTTTTCCGCCAAGCAGCACGGCAACCGCACGCCCGGCGTCTGCATTGACCGCGTCAACATGTACGCGTCGTGCTGGATCTGCACCAAGGTGGCCCACCTGCCGCCCCCGACGCCCGGCCTGGACGGCGACGGTCTGAGCCGCCGCGGCAGCAGCGAAGCGGGCGGCGCGGCCGGCGAGATTGACAAGCTGGTGATTTAGGTCTCGTTGGGCGGAGTCGTGGCGGCGGCGGTGGCCGTGTTGGGTGTAGCGGTGTTGGGGCACACGGGAGTCCGTTGTGTGTGTCCTCGTAAAACGAAAACGGCCCGTTTGGTGGTACGCGCCTCTACTTTTCATCATGCCTTTTCCCCCTTTCACCTTCGTTTTTCAATCTTGTGCTTCGTGGTTTCGCCTTTGTGTTGTTTCGTTCGTCTATCCAAACAAGTACTCTCAAATTGACACATACACTTTTTCTCGTATATTGCATATATACCTCTCATCTTCTAATGAAAGCAGAAACGGCGCTTGTTTGTTGCTGAGAATGGCAGACAAGCAAAGATCCCCAAAACATGAAAGCGATGGATATACCCCAACCCAGTGGGCCATATATGGGCCCGAATGAAATTATTCACACCCCCCTACTACCAAAATATGTGACGATGCGCTGGAGAGCATCGTGGTTATCTAAACAAACCCTCAGGGCATCTAGCCCTGGTTTCCTGGCGTTTCTGACGCCCTCTACCCTTCTCCATAGACAGAATGCACGTCGCGCGTAGGGGCCTATTCTGGCCAATAAGCCATTTTGCTAGGGACAGCAACACCTTGGTCAACGATAATATAAACCAGCGGGAACTTGGTCCACGCAGTTGTGGCCGTGGCCGTGGTTGTGGTCGTTGTCATGGTTGTGGCTGTGCTCGGTGCAGCTTCGGTCGTCTGCATTGCCTTTCGTGCCGTCTTCCTAAAGGGCCGCGTTCTCGTGCAATGGCGTCGGCGGTGGTGGTGCGGGCATAGATGTCGGCGCGGCCGGGATCTCGCGGATGCCCACCACGACGTCCGTCTTCACGGCGGGTGCAGCCGCGACAGCGATCGACGTTGAGGTCGCCGACAGTCGGGTCGCATCCTCTGCATCGTCCACGTCTTCGGCATCGACATCATCCTCTGCGTCCTCTACGTCGACGTCGTCCGGATTCTCCACCTCGATTGTGTCCTCTTCGTCCGTGGCGTCCATGACCTCCGCAGTATCATTGTCGTCCGCATTGTCCACCAAGTTGCCCACGACGAGCGCCTCCTCCAGCTTGGGCACGAACGGCTCGGTGCCAATCGCGGTCGTCGCCGTCGCGGCCGTCTCCGCCTTGACAAGCCCGGGCGTCACGTCGGTAAACACGTGCCGGCTGGTAAAGCCGGGAACAGCCTCGACGGAAATCTGCTGGTTGGCAGGGATCATCTCGTGCTCCAGGCTCCAACCTGCAACGCGGCACAGCTCCGAGACGACGACGTCGCAGTCGCCGAGTAAGTCAATGTCAAAGTTGATGTGATTCACAGGGGTGCGCGAGATGTAGATGGCGGGTACGTTGGGCGGCATGTAAGGGACGACCTCGGAAACGGGGGCGACTTTCAGGGAGGTGCCAATGACCACAACCAGGTCGGCCTTGTCACGGTCGTGCTCGGTGAGGCGGCGCGAAAACTCGTCGGGGAGGGCCTCCCCGAAGAATGTAATGTCGGGCTTCATGACGCCGCCCCGGCTCGGGTTGAACTCGCCGTCGGCGTCGTCGTCATCGTTGTCGTCGTCGCTGCTGGCGCGCCGGTTCTGGCGCCGTGGACGCCCCCTAGGCCGTCCGACTTTGCCGGGTGGGCGACCACGACGACGGCCACGCCCGCGCGCTGCAGACGATCCTGACGGTGTGCTGACGCCCGACGGCGCATTGTCGAAGCTGTTGCTGCGGCTGAGCGAGCCACGGCCACTGCTCGACTCGCGCGCAAGTGCCTTCCGCTGTTTCCGTGCAGCAGCAACCGCAGCACCAGCAGCAGACCCGCCGCGCCTGCCGTTGCCTGCAGCACATCGTGGGCAGCGCGGGATCTGCCCTGCCTTGATGGTTGGGTACAGAGACTCGCCCTCGACGCGGTAGCGGCACGTTACACACGTCGCCGTCGCAAACGATCCGTGGCACTGAATGAGCTTGGAGGGGCTGATGCCAGCCTTGGCTTCGAGGTTGTCAATGTTTTGCGAGTAGTTTGTGAGCAGCTTACCCCGTTGCTGCAGCATGGCAATAAACGCGTGTGTGGGCGTATAGCGGTCCGTCGATGGCAAAATGTCGCGCGCGACAGAGTAGAAAATCCGGGGGTCTTCTTTAAAAACATGAATGTCAAAGACTTCTTGCG